TTTGTATGCCTGAGCAAAGCGCGCTGTAGAGTGCGGGCGGAACCCTTGATCTTGTGGTATTTCATTTGAGCTTCGTAGTGCTGGTTTTGGACGGGGTTTTTGGCTGGGTTGACAAGGAGTAAACAACTCTCTTTTGAGATAAGACGACGCCTCCCAAGTATATTTGACCTCTTCCGCGTCCGCCGGTATGCTGCAGACCCTATTTGAGTACGCTCTTTGAGCCATCGTGATGCCGTAGACCTGGTTACTCCCAAATCTGCCCCAATAGCCTTATGTGTTTCTGCGCCGTGCCGGGCGTCCCAGGCCTCGTAAAACCGGGTCTTTTTGGTAGTAGTAGCTTCGCGGTGGTGTATTTGACGATCTGGCGTGTCCTCTCTACTGTGAGTAGGCGTGTTAGTGTCCATTTGGACGGTTTAAAGAGTATGTTTTATTAAGGTATGATATCTAAGCATTTTTGGTGTTCTTGATTACGTAATTTAGAAGTTGTGCTGTCCCACGAATTCTGTCACCCACTGGTGCACCTTTTGAGCCTGATATATGGCACCGAACAGTTTACACATGGTTGCAAGTGCATCCATTGATTCTCGCTTACATTTCTCCAAAAGGTTATTATAGTGCTAGAAACTATCGGATAATCAAATAGACTTAAAGATGATATGGTATCAGCCGTAAAATGGTAAAACTCAGTTATATTTAATTCTGTTAAATTCTCCTTTTTAAATTTTGCTTATGTTAAATAATTAGCCTAAGATTATATTTCTAAAGGTCTTACGCAAAAAGTTCTATTAGAAAGATTTTAAACGGCATTGATTATAGCTGTTACGTCCTTGCCCTTAGGTTAAGCCACGCTCCGTAAATATCCTCGAGTCGTCTATTCACCTAGCCTACCCCGCCTGACAGTGTACTATGACTAATGCGTTGGTTTCCCTTGGGGTTAAGGTTTAGGGCACAAATATCCGAGCACTCTCTACTTGCCTCTTGAAGTTTAGGACCCCTTCTTTAATCAAATGATATTTGCAAGTCCTCAAGTACCTCCCTTTGCAGCTCTCTGCTGACGGAGTGTCTAAAAGAGCTCTCCTGGTTCAAGTCCTAACCCCGATTTTACGATTAACTTTGCTCACTATCTATTGCATATGTTTAAGCCTCTGAAACCTTTTCAGTACATTAGGCTCTGGTCTGGCGAGTCTGGGTACCAGGGGTACTTACTGTGGCCTGGTCAATGGCGCGCCAGGTAAATCCGAAGATCTCCCACTTCAGCAACCAATCAGAACTCCTCGCGTAGCTCCAGACCCCACAAAAGTCGCAAAACAATCTTCATATTGCAAAATAAGACAGCCACCGTCATCAAAACTGGGATTAAACCTGCCCGCCTGGCCCAGTCAGTTAGTGTGTGCTCCCATATGCACCAATTCCCATAAGCGCAAACACACACATAGCCGTTTCCTCCGCTAATTTGGACGCGCCCTGGTCAAGCGTCAGACCGCTCGTCGTAGATAAATGTAAGTTCTCCTTCAATCTCTAAAAGAAATGCTCATACTAATTCTAAATAGGTAGAAAGAAGATTATAATTCTAAATAGGTAGAAAAAAGATTATAGTATGTCTTTTTTTTTCTTTTTTTTTTTCTTTGGCTGGTTTAACTTGATTCTGATAAGCATAAAAATCAAATTCTCGAATACGTCAACGTCGTAAGTTATCTTGATGTTGGATCATCACTCTCAAAATAACACACACATTCTTCCAGGGGTTCCTCGATATTCATGGTGAGAACGAAAGAGGACTAAACACGAAAGTAGGCTAGAACAATCATTTAAAAGCTGCCTCGCTTTCCACAGCTCCATAACAAGAGTAACCCCATAGCTCGGAGCTACATACAAATGTACATTGCTCCCATGGCAGGGAGTCGTTTCAAAATACCCCAACGCACAGAATCCACAGAAAAAACCCCAACCCCTTTTTGTGTCCTTGTCTAGCGATACATCATAAGTATCTCATAACAGAAATGTCGGCATTTGTGAATGAGCCCTATGTTTACGTCTCAGAACTGGCACTCTGATGGCCTTGCGTATGTTGGTCTATATCCGCATCCTTTCAATTGACGCTCTCCGGGCTTTGCGTGTTCGCCTTAGTAACCGTAATCTTTGAATTGTCAAGCTCTTCAGTGAGTTTGATAGGCGCAACATCGTCTTTGGTGGGAACCTCGCACAACATCGACTCTTCATCCTCAACTGTATCCTCAGTATGGTTGGCATGCTTTCTGCCCGCCTTTTGATACAAATAATCGAATATCTTGTCCACGACAGCCGTGTGGTACGGGAGCCATTGGTGTGCCTTGACTTCGCAATCATGAATAGCGTCCCATAAATTGTTCACGCTAGCTTCTTTAATTGCGATCTGTTCGTTCGCCTTTTCAAGGGCCTCATAACCACGTATTATTTGCTCTTGAACTAGATTTATTTCTTTATGCTTGCTTGCCTTCGCTGCTGCAACTTCGGTAGCGTCAACCAGAACGAGATCATAATAGAGGTTGGTGGTGGTGGTATCGGGTGGTGCGTGTTTCGAGTTACCTAGGAATGGTCTGTTGACCGGGGCAAATAAGTCGTGAACTATTTGATGGTTGTTGGGAAACATGTTGTATGCGTTCTTTTCGCAAACTCGCACGACCTTGATCAGGCCGTCCGTTACGCTCTTGTGCTTCGCGATTAGGGCATCCTTTTGAGGATAGTTTCCTCTTGCTGACTTCAACTCCTTCTGCATTCTAGCGATGTTTTGCTCAAGATGTTGTCTTTTTTGTGCATGTTGTTCTTGCTGTTTCTTTTCTGCGTGCCGCAATTGGTGTACTCGTCTCTCAGAGGCTCCAAATAATGTTTCTAGTTTCGCAAACGTCGAAACGCCTGAAAAGGGCAATACATCCTTGATAGATGGGGAAATATCGGCGCTAGATGATGAGGGCGCAACCAATCTCGGGTGTCGAAGGTGATGTCAGCTGTTCTTGTCCTGGTTCAGCGACTGGGCCCTTCATCTTATCTCCAGGAGCCATCTCGCCACCAGCAGTAGGAGTATCAGCAGGGCCAGTATTGGCCACAGAATCAGCATCATCATTGTTGCTTCCGATGTTCTCGCGAGTATTGTGGTCGTTCATTTTGGATATTGTGACGAGGCTTGGTTTGCGCGCAGTTTGCAAATGTTTGTTGAGATGGTAGAGGTCGTATTTTGGGCACGGCCAGGTTGAGACTTTTGGTTGCAGTGGGATTGTAAGACGGTAGATAGACAGTTGAGGAATATGTATGTGGAGCTGTTGGTGAAAGTATGTAAGCCTCTACATTAGTGAAGTGGTTCCATACCATTCTTTGAAGTTTCTGCCTGGTTGGAGTGGAGGAATAATATTTAGCTTACTCGAATTATGATATTCACTGTAGGCAAGGTTGCGCAGATGTCAGTAGCTGCTAGTGCAGAGGAGCTCAGAGATTTTCATAGAAATGGGCTTCAATTATTGACACCAACATTGACAACTTAGATTTGACAGTATGCATATAGTAACCATTGATAGCCACCTTTATAGTTTCAAGTAGAATAGATCGATAGAAAAGCAAAAGAGTCATGAAACAATAATGGTCGTTTTCTTTCTATTTTTTCCCGAATGCATTATAAAGTATGATGATAAGGTTCCAAATACACTTCTCCCGCAACACAGAAGGCTCAAGTAACAGCGCGAAGGGACACTTTTCTTCTATCACTAGCCTAGTAATTAGCACTTGAAAGAAGATATAACATGCGAGTCGAAAAGTTCGCTACCAAAATGAAAGATGATTTAGACCGCAGTGGTAGAACTGTAAGTGGATATATCAGAAATCCTCAAGCAGATGATACAATAGATAAAATTTAGTAATCTTGAATAGAAACGTCCTCAAGCCGTTTCCCAGCTCCTTCTGTACAAATACACGTACGATATCCCCACTCGTACACTCAAGCCAACAATAATAACCCCAAAAATCGCACATCACAAATGCTACATATCTGCTCCTGCTATCATACCTATACCCCTTCACCACCCACGAGACAACCATCATCATTAAAACATCCCTCATCGCAACCTCTCCAATATCGATTTCACCAAAATATCTCGACAACAAAAAGCTCCTTTCCTACCGCTCAATAGCCGCCAAGACCCCAAGAACCTCGCTTCAATCACCAGACTTGGCAGGGATAACAAGGGGGAAAACTTTCTCGACTACACCCCCCAAACTCAAGAATTCCTCCATCATAACACCAGTTTCTCTCAACCCAACATGCGAGCGAGGATAAATTCGCGGGATAAGAAGAAGATGTGGTAATGATCGAGAAAAAAGAGAGAACTTCAAGATCCCTTCGCCCCGAAAACCCACGTCGCATACTGAGCGATGCGTCCTGCAATGAACAGCCTAACAACCAGCTCCCACTTCCCACAATACAGTATAGACAATCCACATAAGCAAAAGGAAGAGGAAAAAGATTCAGTCCATCCAACGACATACCTCCCACATACTACATATTCACATACCATCCCAAGGTTCACAAAAAGCAAAGGGTCACGAAATACTGTACTGTAACAAGCAATATATAAGTAAACCCGAAAACTCAAATACTCAATTCCTCAAAAAACGAACCAAAAAGAAAAGAGAAATCCGTACGATACTATACTAAACGAGTCCTACAGTACTCAACAAAACCCATAATCCTGCCAACCAAGCAAGAAATCCATGAAGCAAAACCCCTCAACTCCATCCCCATCCCAATACAAGGTGTAAGTATAGCTAGCTATGTAACTAAAAAAAAGTAGAGGAGCAGGGCAGGGCAATCGCAATGGGGAAAGCACCACCACACCACGACAAACCCACACACATCCCATCAACCCAACAAGTCTCCCCGAAAAGGAAAAAAAGAAAAGCCAAAGACACAATTACCATCCGTCATAAAAACATATCCATATCTACATTACTGCACTACTACCCCTTCCCCACCTATCCAACAACAGCCTTCATACTCAAACTCTCCAAGAACCCCGAAAGATCCTCCTTCTTCACCTCCACCACACAATGTTCAAAGCTATCAATGCGGACCCTCGCATTCGTCTCCTCCACAACCTCCTGGAAAGCATTCCCGAATTTATTCCTGCCAAAGCCCTTGGCTTTCACTTCCTCTTCCTCCTCCTCTTCTTCCTCCTCACTCGACGAACCTTCCGACTCGGTTTCGTCCTCGAAATCCTCATCATCACCAAGCGCCAACCGTCTAGCTTCCCGTTTCTCCTCTCGTACCTTCTCTTTATTTTTCTTTCTCAATTCGCGCGCTTTGGCTTTGGCTTCTTGTTTTTCTTTCTTCTCTTTGGACGCGTTTTTATCGCCGTAGCCCATACCGCCGCCTCCTCCTCCGGTCCCGACGATAACGTAGACACCTCTTGTTTCATTCAGACCTGCGACAACAAGAGGTGTGCCGCGTCCACCATGGCCCAGCTTTCCTTTCGTTTCTCGTTCCTGTTCCGCAATAGCTTCACCAATCCACAATGCAAGTTTTGTGAGAGCGGAAGGGTGGGTAAATAACTGAACATCCGGTCCAGCTTTCACAACACACATTCGAAATGCTCGAAGATGACGAATCTGTCGCTTCTCGATTAATGATGTGCCTGTTCGGAGAATTGCACGATGTAAATGTTGCGCAGTGGGCAGGGCGGCTTTGAGTTCCTCAATTCTGAATACCTGGTTAGCAAAATACTCCATGCTTCTCGGCAATGTCCTTACTTCTCAAGGGCATCATACGCATCCCAGAACCGCCCGACCCACTCTTGAGCCTCTAGGGTTCCATCCTCATCAGTAGTTTCTCTATTCTCCTGACTCGGATTCCAAGCTGAATTCTGAAGCGTATTCACAGCTTGTTTCCCGACTTCAAGAATGGCCCCCACCACAACACCAACATCCTGCGCACTCAAGGTGGCTCGCCAGCCCCAACTCCGGACGAAACCCCAACCCTCCTTGGTTCCACCCCTGTCCCTACCATCAGTGTCTGCCGAGGGCACAAGATCATCCAAACCGTACATTTCAGAGTACTTGAGCAGTTTGGTTCTCAAGCCTCTCTTCAATTCCATGTCCATATGCGTGTAACTTTGTTTGCATTGGACAAGACTCACTCCCATTTTTGCCAGTAACTTATGTAGCCGTTTTCTCCCACTGTCTGACCAAATATGTAAACGTGCTGATAGATAGGGTGAGTGCAACATGCTATCATATAAACTCCAATGTCGAATGAGAAGAAATTTCGGTTCGGGTGATAGGCGAATGCTTGTATCAGTGGGGCTTCGTGCTGTAGTTGGAATGATGCCACTATTTTCAGGAGATGCATTCCTGTTGGCATTGAAACTTGATTCGGACAACTCTGGGGGATTTAAACGTCGCACTTCATCCCGCAAGAGTTGCCGTATTCGTGATCCACGAGATCCAAGCCAGCCTGCGGAAGGAGCCATGGTCTTGCCAGAAGATACTGCAACCCCGACTACGGATCGCCCGTAAAATTCCATAGAAGTTACCCCTACGATCGTCATCCATAAAAGGTCATTGTCTTCGCGTCCAAGTTCAGAAGCTAGAGAGTACATCATTGAAGATATTGGTTCCGAGTAAGAAGCACCCATTGCATAGTAAGCCTGAAGTACCGACTCGTGTTTTGCGCGCAGTTTTAGCAGCCTTCGCCGTAGAGTTTTGGCAGATGGAGCTTTTGGTGGTTGAGCTGGTGTGGGGGAAATTGATCGTGAGGCAGCTGTGCTTGAAAGAGGAGGACCACTGAGAGACACAAGGCCTCTCTGTTTCGGCCGCCTAGGAGAATCTGGAATAGGACTGGACTAGGGCGACATATTAGTAAACAGAGGGGAATACATTTTGGAGAACATACCAAATTACTCCTCCTTCGTTGGTAGGGTCTGCCTTCATCTTCGCTGCTCTCATCTTCCTCATCACGATCGGACCAAGATTTCCTTTTCTTTCCTGGTCGTGGTTGTGGCTCTTCCACCAATTCTGCCTCCTCTTCATCTTCTGACTCGCTTCCTTCGCTATCATCATTGTTCTCGTCAACTTCGGGCATATCCACCAGTGCCAAATACGCGTCTCGCTCCTTTTCCAACTCGTCCTCCACATCACCATCGTCAAACACGATAATGCCACCCTTTCCCGGCTTGTAATGTCCTTGTATTCTCCCACTATCCACGCCTGGCTGCTGTATGGGTTCCAATCCCTCTTTTCCAGGCTGTAGTCGAGGATGTCCACCAAAAACATTCCCTAAATTCCAAGGCCTTCGCGCGTCAATTACCCAGCATTCGACTCCCCCGTAATTTGTCTCTTCTTCTTCAGTATCAATACCCAGCAATCCTCCAAGATCAACCAGCCCACCAACGCCCAGACAAACCACCACACCCCCATTACCACCTTGGCTCTCCATCATGGGTCTTATAACCGTTCTTCCAGCCCTCTCCAAGTCCCCATAACCTGCAATTGGTTGTATCTTATGCGGTATATAATCCCGCTTCAAGAGCTGGGTCAGGATTCGACAACCACATAACGCATCGGGTTCGAGGGCGACGAGAATCAGAACTGGTGGGGATAACGGGTGGTGGGTTCGCTGGAGATGAAGGTAGAGCGTAGAGATGAGGGATCGTGGTAAATACATGTTGAAGAAGTTGCAGACGCGCCAAACCTCATACTAATTCCGAAGAAGGTTTTGGGCAGTGGCGTGTATAAATGATTCTATGCACAATTGACTTTCGTGGTTTGGTGGGATATTTGGTGGACGCGTGAGTTGGAAGTTGCTTACTTCAAGAGTGCCATTGACTGCAAAAAATATGATGAATTTGGATAGAAGGAGTATCCGAGTGAGTATCAGAGAGAATGTAGTGAAAAGAAATCCAAGGGGTTTGAATGAATGGATTGAGAATGGGAATTGCAGTCTGGCGGGGATTTCGGATTTATGGTGTTGTAGAAACAATCAGTCGCGGTCCATACCCACGCTCCACTCCTTCCCGTGACGCGACTTTCCGTGCCGTGGCGTAGCATAAGCGTAACGCTAAAGTGTTTTGACAGGGGGTTTCAAGAAACGTTCACCTGCACTCCTTTTCTCGCCATTCACAAGGTGAAGATCACTTTTCTTTTATTTCTCCTCTCGGTAAAATCAAAGTGCTTTTTGGATCTCACTCTGCGGGCGGTTCGAAATGTCTGGATTATCACGTGATCTCAGGATGCTTCACTCCCCACGGGTATTGCAAGCCAAACGCAGGAGAAAGTTTTATTTCATGTGAAGCGCATTCAATTTTTGCTACAGTTTGTTGTCGTCTAATAGTCCGTGCCCTTCCTACGACGTATTCGCTTATAGTTAGCGGAAGTAAGTATAGAGCGGAAGTAAGTGTAGAGTAAACTGTAGATCTCTTTGTCACGAATCACGTGTTAGCACGTGGTTAGCGAAGACCAGGCGGCGTCCTGACAGGTCAAGCACTACCAGAATACTTATAGCAGATAGGGATGCTTAGGTTAGCAAAGCGATCCAGGGATTTCATAGCAATTATATCACGTGACCAGTAATGGTCGTTTGGTCGCGAGCGACTACAACGACCAGGTCGTCTTGGTCGCGGCGACCAGCAGCGACCATGAGGATGAAGGTTCTATACAAGACTGGCACGTCTGCCATTAGATAGGAGCTTCGTGCTCAACTTAGTTATCAACTTAGTTATCAATCTTATCATATTAGTTTGACATCTTTGATACAAGTAACGAGTTCACTTCCAAGTGAACAACCCGATAGTCTTCTTCTTATCATAGCATACCAACCAGCGAACACCCAGCCAAGTTTAGTTAGCCAGTTTGAGTATTCGTTACACCCGCTCTCTTAGATCTACCTTATTCGAGATCTACTAGTAGTAATATAATTAATCTTTAACTATCTAATTAAATAAGTATAACTTTAATTAATTTAATTATAAAGAATATAGATTTTATAGGCCTAGTGTAAGAATTAGTTGGGAGGTAGTTACTTTTATATATATTTTTTTTAGTATAGTTTATATAATAATTTAATATTCCGAGGAAACGCCGCGCCGACTCTACACTTGCTTCCGCTCTACACTTGCTTCCGCTGACTACAAGCGAATACGCCGTAGGAAGGGCACGGACTATTAATACACTGTTCTTCCAGTCGTACTCACTCACAGCCTCCATCACGATTTTAAAGACCATCCTGGACAGCAAGTCATCTTCGTTGGTAACTTTGAACTAATTCTCCTCTTTGCTTGGATCTGTTTATATCCAGCCTACTAGGTAAAGCTACTGATATTGGGCACGTGCATGACATACAGAAACTGACAACACGTACTCCCATAGCCATTGACTCATACACTTACAGCTTCCTTCTCAGAACTCTTACCAGAGCCGGATTTAGAGCCAGACCCAGACAGCTTTCTCCAAGTCCTGCTTCAAATAATCAAGTACATAAGTGGTGTTGATGGAATAACGGAAGCGATGGCAAAGAAACATTGAATATAAAACTGAGACTTACATTGCCCCCAGTAAGAACACAATACTTGCGGCAACTCTTTTACTACTGCCCATCTTCAATTTTCCAACATATAACAGCGGCAACCCCAGCACCAACGCATCCGTGAGAATACTCGTAGCAGCAAACGAAACCAACGCCGCTCCCTTATCACCACAAGCATGATGTGCTATCGACTGATCCAAAGCCCACTGAAGCTCTATCCGTCGCCCACATAGCAACAAATCGGCCATAGCAAATGAAACCGTCCACACGGCGACAAAAGCAAGAAGCAAATTGTTGATCCGCGTGAAACCAGGCCACACACCAAAGATTCGTCGATAAAAGAGTAGCAGCGAGATCTTGACTGCACCAAATGCCAACTTCTCAATGACAAGCATAGAAAAATCAACTTTATGCGCAAGAATTGCTCGAGCATGCTGCTCCTGAGCACTCACGACGTCACCACCTGTCCCTCGTAGGGCGTTGTAGATTGGGATTGAGGTGCAAGCGATAGCCACAATAACGCCTAGGAGGATGAAGTAATCGTCTGGCCCAACTTTCTGTTTCGTGTATGAGATGCGAACCCAGAATCGGAGACAGGTAAGCAAAATGCCGATGCTGCAAAAGACGGCATAAATCGGTATGACTGTTGATGCGGGATAGAGATTCATAGTGACTTTCTTGACTTTCTTCGCTTTGGGTTGTAAGTAAAATACCTTGCAGTGGGGATGTATATTTATGTAGATATACCTCATTGCCCCAATGAGAGGCGCAGTTGGTCCTAGGGGCGAAATTGTCGGTTACCATATGAGGTACACTTGCAATGGGATTGTAAGCTTACATGAATGTGGTGGAATCGTAACATAGGGTATAATGGCAGTACTGGGAGTAAAAAGCTGAAACCATTAGGGAAAATATTGAGCATGTCTTTTGAAGTATCTTAGGGTTGTTCTTTGGTCGGCCCCTTTTTGACGAGACCTCGCTAACAGTCGTGATCACGTAGTGACCCTTGTTCTAACCTCAAGAGATAGGACTTTCTTCCAACGTCGATGCTTTTTTGCATTCGTTCTTCAAGAAAAGTATGCTCAATTTTCAAAAGACTTCAAATCCTCTAAGCATAGGAGAGATTTTCTCAGGGCCTAATGATCGAATCTTCGGCTGCGCTCCCTCCAAGTAAGAGGTTGGGGGCCAAATCCTCGGGTTACTCCCTCCGGGACGAAACGAATCCTTCGTGGTGTTCAGGTTACAAAGAGCGGGAAGTCACAGGATACGCTTCTCGTATTTCAGACCCTGTGCATCATCAAAACCTGCATCGACGTTCAATTAGGAAATCCTGTTGTCTCCGTGGTTGCTTATTCATGGTTTCCCAAAGTACAATGGCTCACAAACAATGTCTGGTCATACTTCTAGTTTATTTCTGAAGGCGATGGGAATTTTTGTGAGGGCGAATTGTACAATGAGAGTTCGGGATGGGGTTTTGTGTTCTGATTATTAAACGAAGGATTCTGTTGTGTTCCTTTTACTCAGCAATTCAAGTCGTCTAAAGGTCTTTTCTTGCCAATTGAGGAGAAATGTGAGAAAGGCACCAATGCTGACCCAAGTGCCACATTGTCTAATAGGTACTTTATGCCTTTCATGTCTTTATTTTTCTCTAGTGGGTGTTTTAGGAAGCACGCGAACACCGAGAACCAATTGAAAAAGATGAAGGGATGGGCTTTTTTGAACTTCGTCGATATCCGTCTGTTTATTCATTCCGTAGACATAGAATAAGAATGAGAAACCCTCCTGCGTAATGCTGTGGAATTTTCTTCTGCTGCCTAACGAACTGATGCAGTGACATCGATGGATTCCACCGCTGATATTTTCATCCTGTTAGTCCTCCGTCCCAGCATTCTTCTACACCCAAACCCGTTGCACGAAATCTTCCACATCTTGAAGTAAAGCCTGCGGTTCCTCAAGCGCTGCAAAATGACCCCCCTTCATAAAAATCAGCATCTAAACTTCAAGTAAACGAGGATCACTCACTTCATCATGCATTCTATAAAACACCAAATCGCCCGTCGTCTCCGCCCACGCCCTCGGAATCGGCGCAATCTCCTTGGGAAACCAACTCAATCCAAACGGCTTATTCAGATGCCACTTCGGATCGTCATGCGGACTGATGTTCCCCGGTGTGAAGACCTGGGGATATGGATAGAGCGATGTTGTAATGGTTTGAGTGAACCAATATAGAGATATATCGGTGAGAATTGTGTCGATGGGCAGTGGTTTGTCAACCCAAGCGAGGAATTTCTCGCCTAGGTATGTCATGAGGGCTAGGGGGTTGCTATTTAGAACTGTTGAGATGGTGCTTGGACGGGTGGCTTGGAGGAGAGCGTAGGCTGCGACGGTGCGGGGGAATTCTGAAGCGCGGGCAAGACCATCTTTCTCTGCTGAGGTGATGGAGGAGGCGTTGTAGGATTTTGGTTCGTTCATTAGGTTTAGATTTACTGCCATTAAAACTCAGATTGCGTGTTATATCCTCAGGGTGAGAGGATGCATACGATGTACGGCCTTGCAACTTTCATGTTCGGCTCCCATAATTCGAGCCACACCCGAGCCTACATCTCCTCCTTGAGCGATATATCCGGATCCAAATCCGAGGTCGATCATTAGGGTATCGAAGATCCTTGCTACGTTTTCAAGGCGGAATTCTTTGTCCAGTGGTGGATGGGACGAAAATGCGTAGCCTGGCATGGAGGGGACAATTACATGGTAGGGAAGTTCTTCTGGTGGGTATTTGTCTCGTAGAAGGGAAATTATGGGTAAGAATTCTAAGAAGCTTCCTATAATACTTTGATTAGTTTGGAAGTTGATGAAAGTAAAGGGGTCAAAGTCTTACCAGGCCACCCGTGAAGAAATATCAGGGGAACTGCACTCTCATTTTTGGAGAATAATGCGGTGAAATGAATGGTGTAGTTCTCCGTTGCGGAAACATCTTGTACTGGCGCTGTGAATTGAGGAAAAGAGTTTATATGTTCTTCCTCATGCCTCCTGTTGCGTGATTATGTTATTTTCAGATTTCGACATTCATGGGGGCATGAACTTACCAGTCAAAATTGTTTAGCCAATATTCTCTTGTTTCTTGTACCCAGGTATGGGATACCCCCAGTGTCTGATTCCGCTCCGTTTTCGACTCGTACGTTACCCCTCCAAGTCGAGAAAATCGAAGAGAGTTTTCCAGATAGTTGAGTTCGGATTGAGGGATATTAATTGTGAAGGGGGAGATCGTGTTTAGTGCAACCAGAGGCAGAATTCCGTATCCACCAAACATGTTCGCTAAATGTTCGCTTTCTCTTGCTCGACTCTTTGAGTTTTGGGTATCGAATGAATCGACAGAAACGGTGGACGATACCATTTTTATACTTATTCTCTGAATTTTGATCATAGTGTATAAATGTAATCTGCTTAGTACTCAAGTATGCGGATTAAATGTCAGCGGGTGAGGCTTTTTAACCCTGCTCGTACATATGTAGTGTACATACTCGAGTACTCAATGACCACATGATTAGTGATCTGGTATATTTATACATAAGTGTTTGGAATACTAACACTAATCTACTCAGCAAAAGGATTTATTCGAAATTTTCAATATGTAGTAATCAATCTTAACATTAAAGGTACAAAACCAGCTGATGAAGTTACTTCAAAGACGATCTTTGCCATATTGAGCATTTGGTGTACCCTGTACCTTGCAGGTGAACCAAGCATGTGGACCTCACGCAAGTAAAAAAACAGGATGACAACCCACAAGACCTTTTCCATAGTACAGTTTATTCATAACCTATCATACATCTCAAACGTTGTAAACAACATGAAAACATCCGGCTTATTCTATGGCATTCATCGAAAAGCGGGAGTAACAACGTCTCGGCTTCCATTCAACAGCCGAAGAATACGCACTTTCCTCTCCAGCGTGGACAGCTCCTCATCCCTCTCATCTCTTGTCATCGTTTTAACATCTGTATGCCACTCCTGGAATGTCGGTTTCTCCCTTCCAAGAGTCAAAGCTCTATGCTGATTACGATATTTACGCGTCGAAAAGGGACCGTTGATATATCCAACACTCTGTCTAGTCTTGCCACCAAATTTCAATCCTTCCATAGGCTCAGGAGTATGACAAATATTCTGCTCCGATTCCGCAGATGCCAAACTTCGTCCCCTAAGTCGAGACTTCAAACCACCAACTTCCTGCTCCAGATTAATGACACGATGTACACTTTCCTCTTTCTCACCCTTGAGAGCTTCAACTTGCAGCTTGAGAAACATGTTTTCGCCCGTGGCAGTCTCGAGTTCACGCTGCAATTGTTCGGATTCTTTGACTTTAGCGATTCTTTGGTTCATGAACTGGACATCTTGGCTGAGTTTCGTATTCTGAACACTCAAGTCATCGAATCCTTTGATTGCTTTCTCAAGGTCGTCTTGCGACTGAATCAATCTGGCTGCAGCTTTCTTGTCTTTTTGTTGATATAGTTGGACGATGAGCTCTAGCTTTTGCGCTCTGGCGAGCAGTGTTTCGTGATCTTCTCTGGGGCTTCCAACAGGCTCGCCTTCAATGGATATGTCATCTGCGAGATTTTGTGCGTCTACTTCCTCCATATCGTGATCCTCTGTTGTTTCTTGATCGCCAGGCATAGATGAGTTGTCTCCGATTGTGCTGTAGTTTGCTGCATATTTTGCTGTATCTTCTTCCGTGAGTTCTTGTCGTTGAAATCCCATCGCTGCTTCGTTATCTGGGAATGGCGAGTACTTGACGCGTTTTGCGGGAGGTTCGTGTCCGAATGAGTCTGCTTGAAACGACTCCATGAATTCACTTTTCGTAGAGTTCGGGCATATGATGGGTGGAGAGAGAGAGAACCTGCCAGAGTCGGGTGGACGGTCTGGCATGTTTTGGTCAGTAACCTCAAGAGATGCCCTTTGCGCTGCTGGTACGTCTGCTCTTTGTATCTTGAAGATCGATAGTTCCCTGTGGCAGACTGTTGATCGGAAATTGGGGGTGCTGAGAGCTCGCGTATGACGCGATTGAGGTCAGTGAACCAGCCTTATTGACGAGGCTGGTGGACCAATCAGAAGGGCTGTTGATGCTGCGAGGTGAATGTTTGGAGTAGACCGATGATCAAGAAAGACGCGATTATGTATTGAAAACAAAGTAATCTTCTTACTTCAAGGCCCTCAAGCAATAGCCACCTGAGAGACAATTCTCAGGGTTGATGCTACCCCATGTAGAAATGGTTCATTCACTACTTTCCATATGAGTTCTCAGGACTGATGTCACCTGTTTACTTACGGTGCTATAGAATCCAGATGTCAACTTAATAGGAATCAAACCCTACGTGGTCAAGTGAGGGTTCTAATCTGTGGGCCCATCCTCCCAATATATTGTCCTTCTCACCCAGATATAATGAGCAGGAAAGTCCAAGTACTTACTCTCGAGTTTTCTGGTTGCTGCTACGATGGTAAGTTGAATCTTTTGGCGTAGGACTGGACTTTAGGCCACTTACATACACGTGTGTTTGACGTTCTGCTTAACCTTTTAAATATGTGTTTGTCTGGTGGGATATCTGGAACGATACATTGATTCAATCCGCTCTTGCTGCTCATTAATTCAGGTTCGTTCTGGGATGATTGTATCAGTCGATGAATCTGAAAATGCATTCCATTGACCACTTCATAATTTAAATATTGCCAAGATCATGATGGAAAGTAAAGTACACAGCTACACGACCTACTTACTCAAATATACTTATCCTTCGCCTGGAAATACGCACTTGGTTCAATTTATCGGGCTACTATTCTGCCATTTCTTTAGTGGTAGTTTGTTTAGCTATCTGTTGTGCTGGGTCTACTTTCTCTTTTGCTCCACTTCCTCATTTGATCCACTTATAGTTCTGCTACCTAAATGCTTCATGTCTGCCTAAACCTTACACTCTTTATATAAACACCTTAGATAGCTACCTTTTACAATGCAATCAATTCTCCATGACCTTCAGTACCCAATACCCTTTCAACCCAATACTATCCTACCTGAGCCTATCGCTATGGAGATCCCTCTCAGCTTGACTTCTCAAGTACACTTGACCATATTATACACCCAGATCTTGAGATACACCATCTTCTGTAATCTACCTTTTCGGAAATAACCAGAAACAAAAACTCCATCTGTCGAAAAAGATGCAACAAGCAGTTCATCAAGTTTCCTCCGATGACGTCGATATCCACATTAACAATTCTCGACGAAATAGCCCAATATCATTCATCCCTCATTTCATGGCAACTTCATACATATATTCTCTTATCTCCCACTTATTTTAAAGGAGCCGAGGAAAAGCACAGACAATCCAGACAACCCGCCGTAGAATTCAGTCACACTCTTAAACCTAACATACGCAGAAATTCTGAGTGATGGAATCTCAAGGTGTGGCGGCGAAATTCGAGAATCAATGCAGCTGATTTCCAAGCAAGGCTGCAATAGGATGGTCTAGAGGTTTCTCCAACGATTTCAATTCCCTTCCCGTAGGAGAGACCGCGATTCACGTCCAAACACACATGTAACATACCCTCCGTCTAAATGAATCAACTCTCGAACCTGCCACATACAGGATGACTCCAGAGAGAGAGAGGCCTCAAGCGGTGGCGTCTGGCCGCGGTTGCGGTGTAATAACGAGAATGGATGAAGATGAATAAAGCCGAGGGAGTTCCATATCCAAATGACCAGACAAAACAGCCAAATCCACCAGAACCCCCCTCAAATCTGGTGGAACCAGGAATCAAAAGCGTGGTATGCCTTCCATGCACCAAACATCCACGCTGCATTGAAAGCTACAGTCTCGATTGTCCAAGACAAGCGAGTACCTGGTTCGCTTTGAGGGACGGCAACCTGACTAGAATTCAACCAATATTCGTACGAGGAATCTTTGAGGCCTTGTGATTCGTCAGATGAGGTATCCCAAGGTTCTTCACAAGCTCCAGAACTATCAGGACAAACTTGGTCATTATCAGCTTGCAGGCTGTTCGTGGTACTCTCGGAAGACAATTCTCTCTCTCCTATTCTGAATGGAAGGTTCTCGGAGAATAATTCTCCCTCATTTATGGTGACCGGAAGATTCTCGGATGACAGATGAACATTGCCAGCGGCCAATGGAAAGTTCCAGGGGGGAAGAACTTCATTGTAGACGTCCAGTAAGCTTAAGGTGTGACGGCTAAAATGGACATCGATGGTACCGCTGGGAAAGGACTAGCCACGAATAGAGTACACGTCCAGATAGCAATGAGTAACAAAACATAGTTGGCCCAACCATAAGTAGCTTTCTTTGTTCCTGAAGAAGCAATTCGAGCGGCAGGATATCTCCGTCGATGCAAGGCAAGATGGAGTTTCGCTGAATCAAGTTTTGATTGGACGCTAAGAGCTTCGTGCTTCAAGTTCCCAGCCTCGCCCTTGGCCAATTTCTCCTTCTTGACATCTGCCATCTGCGACCCGTGATTTTGATCCTCCTTATTACCAGCAGTATTTTGGGAATTGATTCCATCCTGATTCGGCTTTCCATGATGTTCTTCTACCATCTCATCATGCCAATAGAATCCACTCTTTGCGTAACATAGTTCAAGGCTCAAACGATCATTCTTCTCCTTCAACTCCTTGTAATCGGACTTGGAGGCCAAATCAGACTTCAGTCTCTGGAGTTCGGTCTTTAACTGTTCATTCTCCTCGGAGGAAGCCGCGATATCTCTCTTCTTCGTCGCCAACACCTCGTTCTTCTCGGCCTCCATCTTGGCAAACTTGCTTTGGTAATAGTCTCTGATGTCCAGAATCTCGGAGTCGTGTTTAATGATCGCTTGCCACAGATTTTGGGGTTGTTCAAATAGGCGTCGCTCAGACGGGACGTAACGAGAATAGGGGTCGTTGGCCATGGCATATTGGATAGCTCTTTCGACTCGCATTTCTTTGGAGTCCATATCGTGCAGTTTTGTGGTGGTGAAAAATGCGTTGCGAAGATGTTGTTATCGCTGGATGTGCATGTAAAGGCTGAGGGATCGAGGGATTCTATACATAGCGGCGACGGGCAGCTCACCGGGTGCACCAGCTAGTGTCTGTTTGATGTAATTAGACTATTTGATATTCACCAGACACTTGTTCACGTTTTTTGCTATGGGGTCGGTATTTAATTTTGTAGCGTCCAATATATAAGCGAGATTTGATAACAGCAAATTCACTTCTTTACTCATACTTTACCATTGTTTTGTTTGTTTTCTTTTTTTTTCTTTTTTTCTTTTTTTCTCTGGTGGCTAGATACGTATAAGTCTAATTTTCAACGGGTTCTAACTGCTATAATCTTTTCAATAGAGCTCATATGGTTTTAATCAGGGGTGGACAGCTTGACATTTGACAGACGCATGCTTACCCGTGAACGATGCCATCATTCGGAATCACTGCAGAATTTGGATAGATCGTCGCTGAAAGTTTTGTCGAATTTTAGAAAAGTAGGAGCATGCGTCGCGATATAAAGTGTTCATTTGCTTGGCGCAGAGGGCACGGTAATTTTGTGTCTGCAGTTCACTGCGGCTTATTTGAGAGAGGAAATCCAAAAACGCGGTGAATCCCAAGATCCAGTCCTTATGCCTCAATCCCAGCGTAGAAAATTCGAGTAGTTGAGTTGACTCGTGGCACCTACTCAACTTTTAACTGGAGTAGTAAAAATCATACTAATCAACTCAACTTGAGTAGTGCTAGAGTTGAGTTGAGTTGAGTAGCTTTGTGTTAACGCTGCTCAATTCCCTTGCAATCCCTCCGGCCCAATACACTTCACTACTTCTATACATTGATGACATATACTCTAGTATGCCTCTCAACTCCAAGACGAATGAGTTGGAATTCCACAAACCCTGTCCGCATCTATGCATTCAATACCATTCTCGTCGATTTAGGATAATAGAAAAGTCCTCTACAAGCAACTGGTCTTTCTTGTCCTGGACCTGCGGATAAAGGCCATACACATTCAACGCCAGCTGTACACCTTTTCATGATACGTTGTACTTGTTTTAAGTAGAAGTGGAAAATCAAAAGTGCCGTTTCAACATCAGCCAAACAGAAGTATACAAGCCGTTTTTCCCTGGTAATCTCTTGTAGTATCGTTTGGGTTTTAAGAAAGTCTATCTCTATCTAGCCAACGTAAGAGTACGGCCATCATCCCATTGTCTAAGTCTACCCTGTACTGTTCACACGACCCCAAATATCTACAGCAGCCAGAACAGTACTCGTGAGCATAAGCATAGAGGTATTGCTACATGAAGCCACATACCAACCCACGACTCCACTTGGAATGACTAGGTCGCAACCATCTACCATCAACTGTCTCATAATCTTGCTCCTCTTTTGGAAGTACTTCTTTTCCAATTCTGTGAACTTCTCCTTAACCTTTTCTTCCTCCTTCTCATCTTCCGACGAAGGGGACATTGGCGCAGATAAACTAGCCAGCTGCAAAATCCCAATAACGATGCCCAAGAATAATGCGTAGAACCAGAATTTATTTGCTTCTATCGTCATCCATCCCGCCCACTGATGTTCTGTGACACCCATCGTATCAAGCTATTCTGGTCATTACAACAACATATCGAGTATTTCATCACCAAATGAGAGGTTTTGACATACCAACGTACAAGTCTCCGTGAACAAATACATCCCTTGACACATCCACCGCGTACTATCGAGCCACATCAATAGCCTCCCATTTGCGGTGTTTGCTGGAGAGAAAGCAGTCACAGAGTTGTTGAATGCTGGAATTATTTTTGGGATTCGGAAATAGCGACGTGCTTGCGTATGTTAACCTCAGGAGTGCATGGGGTTTATCAGCAATGGGGGTGAGATTACCAAGTGCTATCTGCTTTCGAGCTATTAGGCATGGAGTAGGCTTATGAGCGTTGCATGAGATAAGTTGTGTCAGCGCTTGGAAAAAGCGGAGAGATTTTTCGAGTCCAGCTAGATGAAGTATTTGGTTAGTTTTGCTCTCATAAAGTAGGTAAGGGGTAAATCGCAAGTTCCCGTTTTGGGTTGAAGAACCCGGGTAACACGGACCTGCATCATTCAAAAATGTGGTTGCTTGAGAAGTAAGTGACATAGTTCATGAGCATTAGAGGACTTTTCTTGAAGAAAAACTCATAAAGTTAACTAGAAATGATGTTGTCTGGGGTGCAGTTGTATGGAGGAGGAAGGGCAAGTTTTGATGAGGTTGCTGTGGCTTGAATGTGTGGCGCGGAAAGTGGGGGCGGACAGCTCACAATTAATGCACAACTCATGCTCCAAGTTTCTTGTTAATACAATTTTGTTCATAATTAATTTAGGACAACTGCCAAGCGAGATGCACCACTAACAGAGAAGCTCTTTTAGGTAACGAAAAAACAATTGACGTCATCGAGTTCTGGCTACTAGTTATTAGTCTGGAACCAAATTCCGGGATAGTACCAAGCATGAACACCACTTTTGGGGTTGATTTCCCCGCTACCGCGTGCCCAGAGTTGAAAAGGACAGAGAAATCGCAAAGGACGGACCGTTTCTGGAAGGGTTATATCCTTACAGTATATCCCGTTACGAAGGTGTATCGGGTCTTTCCGCCCTGAATTTCATTTCTCGCCAAATTAAATATCCAGGAACACCCTCCGGTGTCAACCACACCATCTGTGCACAGCTCATCCATCATGACTGACAACCAAGACCTTCCTACTCTTCATCCATCCGTCATCGATCGACTCGATCCTCAATTTGTCGAGATCTATAACAAGTATCAAGGTTGGTTGTCACAATTTGGGGTTAATTATATATAAAAGTAATAATGGCCATGAACAGCGCCAAAATTACGAGCTGACCAGGTCCCATACGAGGTCTACAATGCCAACAGGTCAAAATATTCATTTCCTATTGCTCCAGGGCCTAAACCTCAAGTGGGACGGCTGGAAACATTTGAGGTCCTGGTAACAGAGCCGAAGGGAAAAATTAATGTCAGAGTGTACTTTCCAACGGAAGAGGCAGCCCTTAAAGGTGGTTTGAGTGCCAAAGATGGAAGGCTTCCAGCTCATGTGGAATTCCATGGAGGTGGATTCGTCATTGGAGACTTGGAAACGGACGACTCCTGGTGTAGACAGGTCTGTCAAGCGGTCGGATGTATTGTTTTGAACGTGGATTATCGGCTTGCCCCGGATTATCCTCACCCGACCCCTCTTGAGGATTCCTGGGCTCCTCTTCGATGGGCCATCGATACCGCTGACGATCGTGGGATTGACATTTCCCGAGTATCTATTGGTGGGATATCTGCTGGTGGTCAGCTTGCAGCAGTCCTCGCCTTGATGGCGCGCGACACTCCCAATTTTCCAAAATTGGTTCTCCAGCTTCTCACAGTTCCCATCGTGGATGCGAGATTTGTTCCTCTTGAAGGACCATGCCCCCCTGAAGATCCATACAAGAGCCATCATGAGAATGAGTTTGCTCCTTGCTTGCCTTTGAACAGACTTCGTTGGTTTTACAAGCTTTGGTTGGGAACAGATATGGGTACGTAACAACGTCCCTCTTTACCTGCCGAACATCAGAGGTCTCGCTCACAGAATGATGAAGAGAAAAGAGAGGAGTTGACCAAAGACTTCCGAGCTTCCCCAATTCTCGCCTCGTCTCATGCCAACCTTGCACCAGCTTCGATTCATGTCGCCGGAGTTGACAGTTTAACCTCGGAGGGCATAACATATCATGAGACCCTTTTGAAAGCTGGCACTGACAGTACATTGACAATTTATGAGGGTTGTGGTCATCCATTCTCAGCTATGGATGGAGAACTTGAGAAAGCAAAAGAGTATGTTCGGAACACAATTAGTGACTTGAAGGCAGCTTATGGCGCTATATCATAAGCAAATATGGTTCTGATTTCGTTGTGATAATGGAGGAGGATTATCATTTGGATATTGCTCTACGCTTTTGGACCCTTTATTTTGACTCTTTTTTATAGGCCTTTGGATATTCCAGATATGCGATACTACATGTTACAGTTTACATATATCATGTTTCGCGAGTAGAAGCAATGATTTCAAAAACTCAAGGAAGCCCGCAGGCGTGTTCCTCTATGTAACATTGGTTTATCATACTATTAGTTTCTCAGGTTCAAGTGATGGGAAGTGCCATAACAAATTTCCAAAGCACTTTTGAGTTAGATTGTCAGACAATGATGCAACTTCAATCTTGATATGACTGATGATCTTTTCTTGCGAGATCCTTTTCGTATTTTAGCTACCAACATCAGGAGTATGAAAGCGGAGAAGCAGTAGAGTCACGTGGTGAATCTCAAAACGTGACTGGGTAAGAGCCCACCTTCTAAAAGTTGAGGACAAGGTTTTTGATAACTAGATATCAAGCTGGTATCATCGAAATTACATTGTTTGCACAAACTTCCTAAATCATGATTGAAAGAATGGCAAGAATGGACGCTTCTTTTCAGCAGCACTTGTGCCTTATATTTGAGGCGTCACTCAGCGCGGGCTGGGGTCAAAACCTAACCTGGAGAGCCTGAATCGGGTTGAAATAAGATCTCCAACTTTTCGTATAATATGGCGTATCCATGTTCTCCGTCGGTCAATGAAAAAAGATAAGCATATTTCTCCCTCTCTCTGCCCACTGATGCCCTACGATGGGGTTCTCAGCCTTTCCGGCGGGGTTTGAAACCCTTCAAATCACCGGTCTTCAAATCCTCTGTAAAGAGTTTATCACGAAATCCCTCAACGCCTTCTGCAACCCAGCGACTTTCAGTTCTTATGTAGTCCGGTCCAATGCTGACCCAAGCTCTGATGGCAACGAGCTGTCACTGCAACCATGTGGTGCCGCGATTCTCCAGCTGCTGCAATACCTGTGTCTTCGAACACGGGACCGCAAAACACACCCGCCTTCGTTCATTATTGGTAGATTGGACGATTTATTAGCTCTTGCAAAAGAAAACTTTTACGCATTTCCTTACAACAGTGTCCCATTTTGCTGGAGGGAGCTTTTCCGAGTGGCGAGCTTCATGAAAATCTGTGTGCTGGCTACACAGCGCAATTGGGTGTCAGAATCTGGCGAGCCAAATGAGACAATAGAACTAAGCGATCATATTTCGACCCCACCTCTTACCGCAGATATAATCAACGGAATTGTGGAAACGATCGATACTGCTATTATAATGGCTGGTTCCCCACCATCGAATACCACCCAGGATGCCATTGACTGCCTTTTGGAACTCTTGGAGAAAATTGATGCCCAAAGTTTTCACTCAGAGCCACATGACATTCTGGGCGACGATACATTAACTCAACCATCCTCGAAGCGTCAAAAGACGAATCACAGCTATACCACGGATCAATTTCCTGAACCTTCTATCCTGATTCCAACTATATCCAAAGCGGTGCCGGAGTTAGTAAATCCATCTTTTGGAAAATTCGAGAGGCACATGTTGTACCCATATAACAACAACCTTGGACCAGAACCATTGATCATCCCGGGTGTCATGGAACACTGGCCAGCTCGTGCAGAACGGCCATGGAACAAACCTTCATATCTGATGTCTCGAACGATCGGGGGACGACGGCTAGTTCCCATCGAGCTTGGAAGAAGCTATGTTGACAGTGGCTGGGGCCAAAAGATAATACCATTTCGGGAATTCTTAGAACAGTATATGATGCAAGATCCAACTGTGGAAAGCCGTGGCGTTGGTTATCTTGCTCAGCACAACCTCTTCAGTCAAATTCCGACTCTGAGAAACGACATTTGTGTTCCAGATTACTGCTTCGCAACTTGCTCGCCACCACATCATTCATCTCCTCTTTTTTCAAAGCACACCAAAATGGCCCAATTGGAAGAACCGCTTTTGAATGCTTGGTTTGGCCCTGCGGGTACCATTAGCCCTCTACACACTGACCCGTATCACAACATTCTGGCCCAAGTGGTTGGTAAGAAATATGTCAGGTTATATGCGCCACGGGAAAGTGAAAAGCTATACCCAAGAGGAATTGAGAGGGGAGGAGTGGATATGAGCAATACGAGCGAGCTTGATGTTGGCACGCTTATTGGCTGGGATGGAACAGAGGAGGAAAGAGCGCTTGCGCATCGAAAATTCACACTTTTCGCACTCGCCGATTATGTCGAGTGTGTTTTGGAAGAGGGTCAGTGTCTGTACATACCTTTGGGCTGGTGGCACTACGTCCGGAGTCTCAGTCCCAGTTGCAGTGTAAGCTTTTGGTTCAATTCAACCGAGGAGCATCAGGATAACAATTGAGCAATCCCAAAGCAAGTATACCACTCTCCATCTTCTCGCCTTCTTGCTTCCTAGTGTCAACTCAACCCGAGTGGGTTTCGCACAGCATACTGAGAACAACCTATTCTTGCAAAAGTAGGGTTGTACGCAAGCACTGAAGAAACCCCCAGCAACCAATGTTGGCAATTGTTGGCGAAGGCCTCCTCCGACCAGAGTGCACGGATGGCCTCAATCCTGTAGTCGCTCCTTCCCTTCGTCCAATACACAACATTATCGAAGCAATTATAGCTGCTAGTGTGCGCAGATCTCGCAAAAATGGAAGGCATGACCAAGAACCACAATCCCAACCCAAATCTTCAAAACCCTGACGGTTCCCTCCTGCCCTTTTTCTTTATTCCTCTCCCAAAACACATTTCTTCTGCACCATCGACACCACATCTCTCACTTCAACCAAACGTCATCATCTGCTGTGAAATGGACTCTCACCGGCTCCTGAGGAACATCCCGTTGTTTTTGGTTGGACTATCGAGGAAGGGCCAATGCACTACCGTCCACCATATTTCCAACGACAATTTTCGTTTTGGATGGTGCGGCTCTTTCTCAGGCCTGCTATTTCAATGGGGAAATGGCACTATAGGCGGTACCTGACTACGAAGTTCGCTCTTTCTCGCACAATTAAGTGGTTTGTTGTTTTCGATTTCTGGCACGGATGAGGGGTGTGGGGAGACCTGTTTTTGAATCTTTTTTTTGTTTGATGGCTTTGACGAGGTCGAGAACATTCCCGACCACCCCGCCCTTTTTTTCCGGTGTTATCGTATTTTGTTGACTTGGTTGGGCTATGCTGGTAAGTGAAACTTGTACAAATATACTGCTTGTGAGCCACTCAAGTTTTGTCTAATAAACTTCTAACAACCTGGCACTGCAGCGTGTACCCCATCTCCACACCGTCGCCCCAATCGATATATAGCAAGGACTTGAGATTATCACGCCATTAATCATCGGCATCCATCAGTACAATGGCCTCCATGGCTCTTCGATTTTGTCGGTAGCCACATCCCTGCACGATCCCATGAAGCAGAATGAAGATCAGCCCCAAATCCTGACAGCAGTACGACTACTGGTCACGTACCATCTTTTGATATATCTGAGAGAAATCGGAATGCCCTGAGGGAAATTAACATATTGGAGCACGTGATATCATGGGTCTGTAATACGCGCGCCCTTGGGTCAGAAACGGTAAGAAAAGGATTCCCTGTCGAATGAGGAGGGATTTCAAAGGATGCTCGTTCACATTCTCGACCTGGAGAGTGGGTTTCGTCGTATACTGACTGTCGCAGGATCATATTTTAGCGCCTGCGGTCGTCATACTTTTGGCCCCACTAGCAGCCAAAACAAGATCCGCCAGCAGATGGCTCGGGTTTGGTCACAATAACTCCGTGATACTCGTACGTTATCTTTGTTCAGATCAGAACGTGGGAGCTCCTCGAGAACGTTGCGTCCATCATCTGCATTTGGACATCAATCTCCTCTCACCGGTGTTTGTCAGTCCTCGCACCGCGCGTCGTCAATGTGACTTCAATACAGTCATCAGCACCATACCATCATAGTGGCTATGCTAATGACTTTCAACTCTTGAGACTCAATCAACGCCGTCTTGACGAAAACGTGGTATGACTGAAGTATATAAACTATAGGGTCTTTGAGGAAAACAAGCTTTCACGATGCCTTGACTAAAATACTCAAGTCGCACAGCTAACCCTTTCCGTCTTTTGTTGTGTCAACACCCACGAGCTTCAACAAATCAAGAAATCAGAATTGGCATATTTCACATGATTTCAAGGTCAACCCTATTCGTTCCATTTCTTTGGGTGCTCACTGCCGATCAGAATGGTCTATTGTGGCAAGCCTTCAACAGGATGCCAAGCATGCAGGGACAAGAAAACACGGGTACGTAAATCTATTCGCTTAATCTAACACTTCTAATCGATCATTGCTGACAAACTTCATGTTTAGTGTGACCGTGGTACACCATCTTGCAGTCAGTGCCTTAGGGCTGATAGGAAATGTCCCGGGTATCGCAATCAATTGGATCTGATGTTTCGAAATGAGAGCCAAGCGGTAATTGTCAAATCCAAGCAACAGAATTCAACATCAAAACCAAAACTGAAGAAAGTGCCAATCGCACGCTACTTTTCAGAATTGACACCAGACGAGCAATTGTCGTCAATCATCCAGCCCTCAACACATGGTCGAATTATGCAAGAACTGCAAAAAACCCCAAAGCGGTTTGCTCTGGATCCTGCTCACGTTGGCGTATTGTTTCCTCGTCTGGTCCCGGGGTGTGACTTGCCACCGAGTATCGAGGAATGCGCGAGGTCGTATTTCCACGCAAATTCTTCGAACTGGTTACGCAACTTTGATCTATTAGCTCCGCTCTGTACCCAAACCAAGACCGATAATTACCTACTCACCAGCATGAGTGCTGTTGGACTTGCCATACTCTCACACTCGGCCCATGCACCAGAGCTACTCTTTCAAGCACGAAAACACTATGGCATTGCAATTCATCTAACGAACGAGGCACTGAGATCACCAACAGAGGCCAAAAAAGACAGTACCTTATTTGCGGTCTTGATTCTGAGCATATTTGAGTCAATCACAGGGACTACCCCCAAGTCATTCGCGGATTGGGAAAAGCACATTAACGGCGCTGCAGCACTGATTCTTATTCGGGGTGACAAGCAGTTCGACACTATTTCTGGACGGAGGATTTTCTTTCAGGTTCTGTCGAGGATGCTTTTGAATTGTCTTCAACGCGCGATACCGATGCCAAAGGCAATGACTGACTCACGGCTGAAAGCGGCGCTCTTAATGGGCCGAGAACAATACGCTTGGGAAGTCTCTGCAAGTATGATTGACTTGGTCAATTTGCGCTCTGAAGTCAGAGCAGGTCTTCTCAAGGACCCTAGAGTGATTGTTGAAAAGGCTCTCGAGGTGGATCGGGGATTTGTGGAAATGGATGCGGGTCTCGCAGAAGAGTTCAAATACCAAATACTTTACTCGAACGAGAATCCGGAAGAGGTGTGGAATGGATATTATTACGAGTATGAAAACCCTTGGGGTGCTCTAGACTTGATCCGATTGCGCTGCTGTAGGATCCTGGTCAATGAGTTGATCATGGATCAAGTATCCGTTCCGCCAACTGCAAAGACACCGAATTTCACTGATGTCGAGGTTAAAACTTATACTTGCAGTACCAAACAAGTGATGCTTCTATGCCAAGATGAGATTCTGGCTAGTGTCACTCAGCACTTTGCTTTTTCTGGCGGACGCCAAACTTTTCCATCATTAGAAAGTGGTTCGCGTGGATATTTTATCCTTTGGGCGCTCAATTTAATTGCAGTGACGAAGATTGCGACGGGCCCCGTGAGAGAATGGGTGACGGGCCGTTTAAGGAGTCTTGCCGATGATTTTGGCGTTTCTCAAGCGATGGTTTTGGTGGAGCATCTTGAATTAAGGAAAGGTAATAGAGAGTGGGATGAGAAACCTTCTATTCTAGAGTAATGGAAGGACCGAGATTTGAGGTCAAAATGGAAATTAATGAGATAGATACTGAGATTAATAGAGTTGTCCTGGCATAGTAGGAGCTAGCGATGGTTCTAGATAGGATTTACTCAAAGCCATCTTGAGTGAGTGGCTGGAACCTGGACTTAAGGGTTATATTTGTACTAGATAAGTAGTTTGTAGACGTCCTTTGGGACACTTGGTATAATAGTAATTGTGTCATAAATTAAATTCAAGTTCTTTCATCTAATAGAAGATACTTTGCCATTTATTTTTCGCGGAGTCTGTCCGATATGGTTCGCGGAGGAGATTGTAAAGGTAATCTACATATCGAACTGGGCATAGATTTTGATTACAGGAAAGACTTGCTAGCCTTGAAGGATCCCCGCTATAAGAATATCCTCGTTTATATCCTCAGCATATTCGGGCCCGACCATGTCCTTGTAGAGAGTTATCTTTGTCCTGTTCTGGATCTTGACTAACTATAGCAAAGTCGAGTTTTGAATTGTAAGTGTCAAGATTATTTTATGCCAAATTTCAAATTTATATTCATGAGTTACCTTAGAAACATCGAGCTGATTTTGTTTACTGGTATTCCCAAGATCATAGGGGCTCATTCAATTGAGACGATAGTGTTATCGGAATTTGTGCGATACTATCTTAGACACGAACCTCTTAGGACAGGAAAGATCTTTTCGCCATCTCCTTACTTCTGTTGGGACCAGATCCGATGTAATGATGCTTATAGAAAAAGGTTTCCAGACCGCGAAAATACCGAAGATGGGATATATAGAAAGTCGCCCTCCGGCAAGGAAAGTTCCATGTCTAGTCTCCGACTTCGGTAACCACCGTATAACCGCGATACAAGGATGCTAGACAAAGGATACCATTGTTTATATTCTTACTTCGTATATCTATCGGAGTAGGTGTATGAACCTAGACCTAAGGGGTATATTTACACTAGGAATAAGTAGTTTATAGACGTCCTTCGGGACACTTAGTATAATAGTAATTAAATTATTATTAGAGTGATTTAGTAACCGATTTTTAATAATAGTAGTAAAGTTTTTTAGCGTATAAGTAATAAGGTTTGTAATTTTATAAGAGGTTTAGCTAGCTAATTTTAGTAAAGAATTATTACCGAATAAAGAGTATATAAGAATAGTTTCTAATATAAATATAAGTATAAGGAGTCTATCTAGAATACGAACGCTTATATTACTTATACTATTATAATAAACGAATAGAGGTAAATTATATAGGTTAAAATATAGTAAAATAATAAACTTGTTGGTTTAACTCTAATGGAGAGTCTAGACAAAGTGTTAATACAAATAGAATAGTATCGTATTCGACAATCAGATGTGCACACCGAGTAAAGGTTATAGGTGCTCGCTATTATATAGTAGTGCCAAGGCGCTAGCGCCTCTGCTAGCCCTGAGGCCAACTTACACGTGCTATATCTTATACCAAGTATTTACTCGATATTCGTATAGTAATACTAGATTTACTCTTAAAAAGAGAAGTAAATACTCGGTGCTAAAATAACTAATTAGCTAAACTAAATCTATCCTATTCTATATCTCTTATCTAATCAGAATCCTCGATTCCTCGCTTATTAATCCGAATTATCATTAGATCTATTATCTTTATTATTACGTTTAACCTACTTCTTAATTATAATATGTTGTGCTGGGTCTACTTTCTCTTTTGCTCCACTTCCTTATTTGATCCACTTATAGTTCTGCTGCCTAAATGCTTCATGTCTGCCTAAACCTTACACTCTTTACATAAACACCTTAGATAGCTACCTTTTACAAGGCAATCAATTCTCCATGACCTTCAGTACCCAATACCCTTTCAACCCAATATAATATTAATCTTATTTAAATTAATTAATTTTATAAGTGCCTAGTAGGGCTTTAATTTTATTATAGTATTAGTAGCATTCGAATCTCTCTTAATATATATAATATTATAAATCTCTTATTATTTATATACTTATTATAAAGCTATAACGTTAATTATAAGACGCTTTGTAACGAATACTCAAAATGGCTAACTAAACTTGGCTGGGTGTTCGCTGGTTGGTATGCTATGATAAGAAGAAGACTATCGGGTTGTTCACTTGGAAGTGAACTCGTTACTTGTATCAAAAATGTCAAACTGATATGATAAGATTGATAACTAAGTTGAGCACGAAGCTCCTATCTAAAGGCAGAAGTGCCAGTCTTATATAGAACCTTCGTTCTCGTGGAGCCTACGGGGAGCCCAAGATCCTCAAGCTCCAACGCAAGCTCCTGCAAGCTCCAACGATCATGTGACCCTGTCACGTGATATTAACCGAATGAAATCCCTGGATCGCTTAGCTAGCCCAAGCGTCCCTATTTGCTATAAGAGTACTGATAGTGCTTGACCTT